CACCTGATGTATGCCTGAGTTGGATCTCCCCTCACCTCATGTATGTCTGAGTTGGTTCTCCCCTCACCTCATGTATGTCTGAGTTGGATCTCCCCTCACCCCATGTATGTCTGAGTTGGATCTCCCCTCACCCCATGTATGTCTGAGTTGGATCTCCCCTCACCTCATGTATGTCTGAGTTGGATCTCCCCTGACCTGATGTATCCCTGAGTTGGATCTCCCCTCACCTGATGTATGTCTGAGTTGGATCTCCCCTCACCTGAAATATGTCTGAGTTGGATCTCCCCTCACCTCATGTATGTCTGAGTTGGATCTCCCCTCACCTCATGTATGTCTGAGTTGGATCTCCCCTCACCTGATGTATGTCTGAGTTGGATCTCCCCTCACCTCATGTATGCCTGAGTTGAATCTCCCCTCACCTCATGTATGTCTGAGTTGGATCTCCCCTCACCTCATGTATCCCTGAGTTGGATCTCCCTTCACCCCATGTATGTCTGAGTTGGATCTCCCTTCACCTGATGTGTGCCTGGGTTGGATCTCCCCTCACCTCATGTATGCCTGAGTTGGATCTCCCCTCACCTGATGTATGTCTGAGTTGGATCTCCCCTCACCTGATGTATCCCTGAGTTGGATCTCCCCTCACCTGAAATATGTCTGAGTTGGATCTCCCCTCACCTCATGTATGTCTGAGTTGGATCTCCCCTCACCTCATGTATGTCTGAGTTGGATCTCCCCTCACCTAATATATGTCTGAGTTGGATCTCCCCTCACCTCATGTATGTCTGAGTTGGATCTCCCCTCACCACATGTATGCCTGAGTTGGATCTCCTCTCACCTGATGTATGTCTGAGTTGGATCTCCCCTCACCTGATGTATGTCTGAGTTGGATCTCCCCTCACCTCATGTATGTCTGAGTTGGGTCTCCCCTCACCCGATGTATGTCTGAGTTGGATCTCCCCTCACCTGATGTATGTCTGAGTTGGATCTCCCCTCACCTCATGTATGCCTGAGTTGAATCTCCCCTCACCTCATGTATGTCTGAGTTGGATCTCCCCTCACCTGATGTATGTCTGAGTTGGATCTCCCCTCACCTGATGTATGTCTGAGTTGGATCTCCCCTCACCTGATGTATGTCTGAGTTGGATCTCCCCTCACCTCATGTATGTCTGAGTTGGATCTCCCCTCATGTATGTCTGAGTTGAATCTCCCCTCACCTCATGTATGTCTGAGTTGGATCTCCCCTCACCTGATGTATGTCTGAGTTGGATCTCCCCTCACCTGATGTATGTTTGAGTTGGATCTCCCCTCAACTCATGTATGTCTGAGTTGGATCTCCCCTCAACTCATGTATGTCTGAGTTGAATCTCCCCTCACCTCATGTATGTCTGAGTTGGATCTCCCCTCACCTGATGTATGTCTGAGTTGGATCTCCCCTCAACTCATGTATGTCTGAGTTGGATCTCCCCTCACCTGATGTATGTCTGAGTTGGATCTCCCCTCACCTGATGTATGTCTGAGTTGGATCTCCCCTCACCTCATGTATGCCTGAGTTGAATCTCCCCTCACCTCATGTATGTCTGAGTTGGATCTCCCCTCACCTCATGTATGTCTGAGTTGGATCTCCCCTCACCTGATGTATGTCTGAGTTGGATCTCCCCTCACCTGATGTATGTCTGAGTTGGATCTCCCCTCACCTCATGTATGTCTGAGTTGGATCTCCCCTCATGTATGTCTGAGTTGAATCTCCCCTCATCTCATGTATGTCTGAGTTGGATCTCCCCTCACCTGATGTATGTCTGAGTTGGATCTCCCCTCAACTCATGTATGTCTGAGTTGGATCTCCCCTCACCTGATGTATGTCTGAGTTGAATCTCCCCTCACCTGATGTATGTCTGAGTTGGATCTCCCCTCACGTATGTCTGAGTTGGATCTCCCCTCACCTCACGTATGTCTGAGTTGGATCTCCCCTCACCTGATGTATGTCTGAGTTGAATCTCCCCTCATGTATGCCTGAGTTGAATCTCCCCTCACGTATGTCTGAGTTGGATCTCCCCTCACCTCACGTATGTCTGAGTTGGATCTCCCCTCACCTGATGTATGTCTGAGTTGAATCTCCCCTCATGTATGTCTGAGTTGGATCTCCCCTCACCTGATGTATGTCTGAGTTGAATCTCCCCTCATGTATGTCTGAGTTGGATCTCCCCTCACCTCATGTATGTCTGAGTTGGATCTCCCCTCAACTCATGTATGTCTGAGTTGGATCTCCCCTCACCTGATGTATGTCTGAGTTGAATCTCCCCTCACCTGATGTATGTCTGAGTTGGATCTCCCCTCACCTCATGTATGTCTGAGTTGGATCTCCCCTCACCTCACGTATGTCTGAGTTGGATCTCCCCTCACCTGATGTATGTCTGAGTTGGATCTCCCCTCAACTCATGTATGTCTGAGTTGGATCTCCCCTCAACTCATGTATGTCTGAGTTGGATCTCCCCTCACCTCATGTATGTCTGAGTTGGATCTCCCCTCACCTCATGTATCCCTGAGTTGGATCTCCCTTCACTTCATGTATGTCTGAGTTGGATCTCCCCTCACCACATGTATGTCTGAGTTGAATCTCCCCTCACCTCATGTATGAATGAATGAATGAATACTCTTTATTTCCCCCAATGATTTGGAGAGTAGTACATACAATTACATTACATTATTTGACAACGGCAATGACAAAATACATGTAAGTACAACAGATTGGGCTGGGTGAGCAGTAATGAAGTGATGCGTGAAACTATATTTACATGATATGTGACATAGCTTCACAAATACAATATGGATGTTAAGTTCCATGAGCTGACATGTTTAGCCACGATACCCATGAATGTTGCCCAGCTGTCAAGTGTCATGTCTTGGACCACATCTGTAATAGCACCGAGGTATGTCAGAATCTTGACGGCATCACTAGACGTGTCCTCAAGTCTGAGATATGTTTCAAGGCTAACATTGTCAAATAGAGACTCACTAAGCACATTTCTCTGTTTCATTAGGCCATCACAGTAAAGCAATTGGTGCTTAACAATGTCATCACATTCACAATTACAGATAAGACACAGTCCAGACGTTACAGGTAATATGTCTGAGTTGGATCTCCCCTCACCTGATGTATGTCTGAGTTGGATCTCCCCTCACCTGATGTATGTCTGAGTTGGATCTCCCCTCACCTGATGTATGTCTGAGTTGGATCTCCCCTCACCTCATGTATGTCTGAGTTGGATCTTCCTTCACCTCATGTATGTCTGAGTTGGATCTCCCCTCACCTGATGTATGTCTGAGTTGGATCTCCCCTCACCTCATGTATGTCTGAGTTGGATCTCCCCTCACCTCATGTATGTCTGAGTTGGATCTCCCCTCACCTCATGTATGCCTGAGTTGGATCTCCCCTCAACTCATATACGTCTAAAGCTATCCCACCACACGGACCTTGTTCACCAGGTTTACTATCTGTCACTATTAATCCCTTTCTTCCAAATACGGTTTTCATCAGACGTGAACTTAGGGATTCCAGATCGAAAAACGATATTGGGATGCAATGGGATACAACGACATGCAATCAACTCAATCAACGACTCTGACCACTTTTTCTAATTTATTAAGTTTGCTTATTTGTTGTTTAACGACGCACTCAGCAATATTCCAGCTATATGACGTCGGTCTTTAAATAATCGTGTTTCGCTAAGACATTCCAATGAGTGACGCCATGAGCATCGATCTACGCAATTGTGATACGATGACATACATCAATCAAGTCAGCGAGCCTGACCACCCGATCCCGTTAGTCGCCTCTTATGACAAGCATGGGTTGCTGAAAACCTATTCTACCCCGGATCTTCACGGGTCCTACGCAATTATAATACGATGACATACATCAATCAAGTCAGCGAGCCTGACCACCCGATCCCGTTAGTCGCCCTTTACGACAAGCAAGAGTTGCTGAAGACCTATTCTACCCCGGATCTTCACGGGGTCTATCTGTTAAGTCGCATCGCCTGATGGGGACCAATTTAAACCCGGTCTTCCCCACGAGGTTAAAATCACATAACTATCAATACCAAGTAAATATTGTTTGTCTCAATAACAACCCAGTTGACAACACAAAACATAGCAGATCACCCTTCACATCAAAGATCCAAGCATATGTTCAAAACAGTTATCAAAATATCTACTTACCACAGCCAAACAAAGTTAAGTTGTAGAAACATGTTGATGTCAAATGCCCACCACTCCACCAAAGCAAAGAGCGAGGGTATGAACTTGCTTGTTGGGAGCTCTGTGTTTATATTCATACGAATGATCACCTATCGATTAGCTGATACCAATAGCACGCATTATAGATTTCAGGACAGAACACACGCCTTGGAACAACCTTTTTTCAATTGTAATACAAAGCATATCCGACTAGGTTGTACATTTTGGTTTCAAGTTAGTTTGTTAATGGCGTGAGGTGAGGTGAGGTGAGGTGTGTGTGTGTGTGTGTGTGTGTGTGTGTGTGTGTGTGTGTGTGTGTGTGTGTGTGTGTGTGTGTGTGTGTGTGTGTGTGTGTGTGTGTGTGTGGCTGCTTGTACTCGTCCGATTAATAGCACACTGAGATACCGACTTGTACTGTTGGTAGACAATATCTTGGAGCAGTGACATCCACACACACACGCGCGCGCGCACACACACACACATGCAGAGACACGCACACTGACACACACGCACACAGACTCACACAGGCAGAAAAAACACACACAAGGAGATATACTCAACACACTAATACAACCACAGACAAAGAGACATACACATACACACACACAGACAGACGGTCAGACAGACACACTCACATACACACACCGACACATACAGACACACGACAGACAGACAAACATACACAGACACACACACGCACATCGAGCTGACATGCCGTGATCTAACTGAAACACTGTTCAACGCGGCGTCGAACCTCACTCACTCACTTATAAACAACCATCTTAAACTGCAGTTACTTGAGGCATCACAAAACCCATAAAATACATCTCACGTTATTCAGCAATGTTTGTTTTGTTGGTTGTTTAACGCCGCACTCAGCGATATTCCAGCTATATGACGGCGGTTAATCAGCAATGCTTCACCAAGTTCCAATGAATCTCATCATGAAACCATCAACATTTACATCAACGTGTGGGTAGATTAATAACGTACACAACTGTGTGTTCTGTACTAATTAAGTCACGTGTTCAACCAATCATCTCGCAATACCGGTAGATCTAGACCTTTTCCAATATGAATTGAAAAAACATAATAATAAATCTCGAAGACGTATTTCACTGGTGTGTTTCGAATGCTTAAACACCTCTATAATTTCTGGGAACAATGTTTGAAAATGACATAACCTGTTAGTTCTTTGCCACAAGTTGTTGCTCGTTCGCTTTCTTGAAAGCATCATTAGACAAAACAATGAATGTGTCACACCACAAATAACATTTAGAGTAGAGCGACGTCATTTTACGTTTTTACTGTCACTAACACAAACATCACAAGACAAAAAAAAGCAAAAAACAAATGCCGACAATGTCGCGACTTTAGGGAACAGAAGTTCCGACTCTACATTCGCTGATAGAAGTCATGATCTCCAGATGCCGTCAAATTGTATGTCACTGCGCATGTCACCAACTGACATGTATTCAAGATGTCTGCCTTTAGCGCCATATTGAAACCCATACAGCTTTCACTCGAACTGCACTGAACGCCACAAGCAATAGATGACTCTGCATAGGTTGTCATGGCGACGGGACACCCACTGATCCGATGGGATTGTCGGTGGTAAAGATTCGTGGTACTATTCCTGGGATCTGCAAGGATATATAAAAGTCAACAATATTAGAATTTAAGACCTGAAAGCGAATTTTGGAAGATTACACATTTACGATCATACTTAGTAAAACTGACGGCCAAAAGAAACTTTATCGCTTTAAAAACTAAAATTGCAAAATTTGAAAAACACATGTTTATACTAAATCAGTGCAAAACACATCGGCCAAACACAAAAATGCTCTGTGCAGAAAGTGATGCACGTCCCAGCACGTTTTTGTTTTTTAGAGAAACTGCGAAAAAGTGAAAAACACGTGCCGCTTGGGCAGCCGAAAACTACACGTGCAATAAAGGTATATAAATGATACGGCATGTTAGACACTCACACTGATGAAAGAAAAAGAACCAGAGAAATGCCACGACTCACACCCGAACAACGCGAACGGGGCCTGGGTATGATACAGATGGGAGCCACACAGGCCAACGTTCAACATTTGGCTGCTCCCGCGTTGGTGAAACTGACCTGATGCAACGCTACAGACAGACCGGGCAGACACCAGACAGGCCAAGAACAGGCAGACGCAGGGTAACTACGAACCAATGAAGGCCGGTGTTTGCGTATGTTATGGTGTGGGAGAGCATGTGTGGGCAGGAGAGAGTGAGTGAGTGAGTGAGTTGGGTTTAACGCTGCTTTTAACAGTATTCCAGTTATATCGCGGCGTGTCAGCTTAATATGGGAGGAAAGCCCGAAGTGATGCAGGTCTCAGACGTTAACCACTTCGGTGAAACCCACGAGCACGGATATGGTGCTGACAAACCTAGAAACATAATCGGGGCGAACCGGGATTCGAACCCACAATCATAGGTTTCTGGCGTGTCCAAGGGACGCAACTCTGCACAGCGAATCGCGGCGCCTTAGACGACTGGGCCACCCGTGCCCCCGGGCAGGAGAGAACACCAATGGTCATCGTTAACGGAAATGTGACAGCTCGGCGTTACACGGATGACATTCTTCGTGGAATTTCTACGGCAGCTGCCATGTGGCGTCCTTTATCACCATGACAACGTCAGACCCCGTACAGCCCGAATCTAACAGAAGGCACGCTCCACAGACATGCCCCCAACAGAACACCCCAGGGATGTCATGGATCGTCGTGTTCGACAGCGACCACATCACCCAGCCAACTGACAAGAACTGATCCAGGCCCTCCAGACAGAATGGTGACGTATCCTACGTGACGTCATCAGACGAGTGACTTTTTCTGTGCGCCGGAGATTGTTTCCGCGTCTTGAAGCAGGGGTGGTCATACACAGTATTAATCATTGAACTTTAAGAGCGATTTTAGACGTGTGTACCCTTTGTCCATTACGCTGAAAGCTTCTTTTGCTATGGCACGGTGACCTTGTCGATTGCATGCAATCGTACCCAGACGACGTAGATCGTTGCTCATGATATCAACCACTAGTTTGCCTGGTTGAGACGAGTGTGGTGTAGATCGAGTGAGTGAGTGAGTATGGTTTTACGCCGCTTTTAGACATATTCCAGCAATATCACGGCGGGGGACACCAGAAATGGGCTTCACACATTGTACTCATGTCGGGAATCGAACCCGGGTCTTCGGCGTGACGAGCGAACACTTTAACCAGTTGGCTACCCGACCGCCCCAGATCGAATATCGATGAGTGAAGCGTCAGGGAGCTGGACCAGCTGATACAGTTAGTCGCCTCGTACGACATGCACAGATTGCTGAGTATCAGCTGATACAGTTAGTCGCCTCGTACGACATGCACAGATTGCTGAGTATCAGCTGATACAGTTAGTCGCCTTGTACGACATGCACAGATTGCTGAGTATCAGCTGATACAGTTAGTCGCCTCGTACGACATGCACAGATTGCTGAGTATCAGCTGATACAGTTAGTCGCCTCGTACGACATGCACAGATTGCTGAGTATCAGCTGATACAGTTAGTCGCCTTGTACGACATGCACAGATTGCTGAGTATCAGCTGATACAGTTAGTCGCCTCGTACGACATGCACAGATTGCTGAGTATCAGCTGATACAGTTAGTCGCCTTGTACGACATGCACAGATTGCTGAGTATCAGCTGATACAGTTAGTCGCCTCGTACGACATGCACAGATTGCTGAGTATCAGCTGATACAGTTAGTCGCCTCGTACGACATGCACAGATTGCTGAGGATAAATTGTAACACAGAATCCAGAATAAATGAAAAGGAGGATATATTCTTTTCTGCCTCATCTTTATACATCTTAACATTATACTTTGCTATTGTCATTATTATTATACAGGCGAAACTAAAAAATGCAGCAAAGAGGGTTTTGGTGATCCTGGCACAGTCAGGCTGGTTAACGTAAGGCTCATCATCGAATGGGACTTCTCCCAGGAAGCTCTACCTTGTAAATACCATCCAGACCTTTCGGAGAATGTGAAGACTCCCCAACACTGCAGCCCTCTGCATTAACTCAGATTGTCAGAAGGGCTGTATTTCTGGCAGCAAACCCGGCTACTCTCCCAATGTCAGTCAACAGATTGGGAGGTACCAAACCTAAGTCACAGAGAACAATGGGGAGACGGACAACTTGGTACTTGGGATGCAAGCGTGACATTTCGAAAGCGAGGTCCGCACAGTTGCCATGTTTTTCCTCAATCTTGTCAATCACATTGGTGTCAAAAGGGACAGAAAATTCAAGAAAATAAATGACTTCACTGGACAAAAAAAGAAAAGATCAGGTTGGTTGGCCTGGATATTATCATTATTATTATTATTATTATTATCATCATCATCATCATCATCATCATCGGAATTAGAAATCATCATCATCATCATCAATAGTAACGTCCACATTCTTACCCTGCGAGGTACCATCGATACCCGTGTTAGGAGATCGGTCAGAGGGATCGCCTGCAAGTACAATAATCAGTTACACATTTCAGTTAGACCTTAAGTTTCGTTCAGGAACAAACCTCAACAGCAGACGTATTTATTGATATTAAAATGAAGCTCAACGAACACTTGGCGTTAAGAATATTTATTAGAAACTTAGTGACCCTTAACAACCCAAAAGTTAACACTCTTACAACGCTTCGGGTCTTTGTTCAGTTAACAGTGAAGCGTTTAAAACCTACATGTACCTATATACTCTGCGTTCACTCCACTGGTCGCATAAATATAGCTAAGCTACACACCTTCTAAAAATTTACTTACACTGGTGAGATCATTTTTCACTGTATGCCTCTATATTTTATACTATACTATTCTTCCACTGGTGAGATAAAATATAGAGGCATACAGTGAAAAATGATCTCACCAGTGGCGGGTATGGGCCACCGTAGAAAAGCGATTAGTGGATAACGAATAGTAAAAGCGGAGCCATACATTTTTTTACAAGGATTTAGCAGCTAACAAAAATGAAGTTTTGACGTACATGTGATCTGTGCAAGTCTCGGAACCAGCTTCCACAAGATGTTGTAACTGTCAGAGTAGAACACGTGGTCCAGTGTCGAGTTACTTGCAAAAAGATTCAACTGTTGAACATCCGCATTCTTCACTCCAAGACAAAACCATTCTACTTTCTTGTCCACTTCCATATCGTCACGGTTCGAGACAGATTCCTCAATTTCATTCAGTCGATCACCGGCGATAAGTAGAACAACATTAGCCGCATCAGGACGATCTCCATGTCCAAAAATAGTATATTTCGCCGTTGTAATTGCCGCTGATGCCGACGTCGGTGGTTTTTCCGATCCATGCTTCATATTCAAAATGGCATTCTTCAATTTTGACTTGTCACTCGGTAAAGACATTATTACAGTTTCATATGTGATAATGCTAACCACGACGTTATCATCCGAATTGATAGTGAATGTATCGACAATATCAACCAGCATCTGTTTCAGGAAGGCAAACTCAGATATGTTCATGCTTTGAGAACGGTGGACAAGGAAGAGAACATCCTTCTTCTGAGTCCCACAATCTGCAATTGGAAACTTCGTACAAACGACTCAGTTTTGGCCAGACATTTTTTTATGAATATGGAAAGGGTGTTGTTCTTCATTCAACATAGCTCTACATCCCCCCAAAATTATAAATTTCTTACAGGCCAGAGCGGCTGCGTGAGAGGTGAAAATACCGCGACCGATCTTCGGTGCACGAACGGCTTGCATTCACTACGTTTCTGACCCGTGAAGATCCTGACTAGAATAGGTCTTCAGCAACCCATGCTTGCCGTAAAAGGAGATTATACACAGTGTTTGTTGTTTTACGCCGCACTCAGCAATATTACAGCTATATTACGGCGGTCTGAAAATAATCGAGTCTGGACCAGATAATCCAGTGTTTGATATCATGAGCAATCGAGCATCGATCCACGAAATTGAGATACGATGACATGCATCAACCAAGTCAGCGAACCTGACCACCCGATCCCGTTAGTCGCCTCTTACGACAAGCATGGGTTGCTGAAGACCTATTCTAACCCGGATCTTCACGCGTATCAGGTATTTTATGAACTACTAGACCATAGCAAGGATATGATTTATTGATGAACAACTTCTTTATTTCAATTAGGAGCGACGTTTCGGTGTAGGTTCTAACACCGTTATTGAGCAAGTTCTAACTGGGTAACTGACGAGTAATAATATTTTAAGCCCGAGTCCCCAGGGGTGTCTACATTGAAAATAACATTACCTGTGGCCGCCCTCGTGATCACCGTTTTGCCGGGCATGGAGCTGCTAAGTAGAAAAGGTTAGGAGTCTAAATATCATGAACAATAAAGCATCGATGGCATTGACTTTGGTTTTACGCCGCTTTGAACAATATTTCACTGTTATATCACGGCGTGTTACCGGGTGAGGTGAAATGGGGTTCAGCGTCACGTCCAAGATGATTGCACTTACGTAGCGACGTGCATGCAAGTGTGTGTGTGTGGCTGCTTGTACTGGTCCGGACTGATGCCGATTTATAGTGCTAGCCCACTGAGATACCAGGCCGCAGTTTAACATGAATACCCCACTCGGACACAGTATACTGACTCCAAACCGACCAGTCCTTGTTTTAGCCCCTTAATATCGAGGGCCGGACAGGGTAACGACAAACAAGTACCATCTTTTAACGTCTTTTGGTATGACTCGACCGGGGATAGACCCCAGACCTTTCGCTCTCCGGGCGGACGCTCTACCTCTAGACCACGGAGGCGGTCCAGTATATACATTGGTGAAACTACGAGCACGGGTTTGTCGGTTTGAAACACACGATCGGCGTGCATATTAAAACGATAGACTGTGAGGACCGCTTTAATATTTGTATGATAAAAACCCTTGTTATACAAGTGTTATTTTTTCATATTTCCCCTTGCTTCTATGTATACCATCTAAATAATATCTGCCTTGTTTTGAATTGATTTATTTTGATATAAAAATATGTATAAATTTATTTATTTTGATATAAAAAATGTTTAAATTTATTTATTTTGATAAAAAAATGTATATAAATTTATTAATTTTGATATAAATATTTATTTAGGAGAATTTCGTTGATGTATCGTTGAGCCTTAAGATTGCCCTGGATATGGACCAAACCTGTCCTGTAATGATGAGAGATATCCGCCCACATCAAAACGCTATCCCAACCAAACCTGTCCACATCCTGTATGCAGTTTCCGGCGTAACGTTCTCACAGACGCCTCTAGATCCGTGCTCTTCCATCACCTCGACGGAGGAGAAATCTTGATTCGGCGCTGAACCAGACATCTCTCAATCGCAGTTGAGACAATACCCTGTGTTGACGACACAAATGCAGTCGTTGTTGACGATGTTGTCGTCTCAATATGACGCGTCGAACAGGACGTCTTGCTCGTAGACCTGCTGCTCTGAAACGGTTTCGTACTGTCTTTTCGGATATTTGGGATGCGGTTGAGGTGGCTTTGGTCGTCCTTACACGTACAGTAGGTGGCGCAGTCGGAGGTAGCGATCATGGGCGGGGGTGGTTAGTCTTGGTCGTCCCGACCTTGGCCGATCACGTGTTGACCCATGCTGTTGAAACCAATCCCATAAACCTTTTGATGGTGCTGGGTGCTACATTGAAAAACCCTAGCTAAAGCTGATCGGGATTCCCCTGCCTGCAAGCGGCCTATGACGTTGTTTCTTTGCACTTCTGTTAATCTTGGCATGTTGTTGAACTGTCACTGTTCGATTGACGCAGATGCCAGGCCATCAAAAACCCTGCACTTTAATACCGTTCATAGTGCTGCTGCACGTGCAGTACGTGAAGCTCTATGGCCCTTTTGTTAATGCACTGGGTGCGTTTTTCCGAATCATACGTGTTTCCCGACCAATGGTTTTCATGTCCTTGTTGTGATCATTTTGATCCGGGATTTTTTTCACTGACACTATAACACATTAAACCGCTACATTTTGCTTTTTATGGCCAAAAGTATCCGTATTGCGTTTCATTTTTTAAGAGTATATTTATATCTAATAAATTTACATACTGTAGGAAGCGATGGGCGGTCGGGTAGCCAAGCGTTCGAAGACCCAGGTTCGATTCCCGACATGGGTACAACGAGTGAAGTCATTGCTTAAAGCGGCGTAAAACTATTCTCGATCACTCACTCACTGTAAGACGCGAATGACCTGGTTACCCCAATCGAGAAGATCAATGCTTAATTAAAAATGTCAATGTTTGACTTGATTATTTACAGACTGCCTTCATATAGCTGTGATATTGCTGAGTGCGGCGTTAAACAGCATACAAAGAAAACAGACAAAGCCTATGACGTTTACACCAATGTCAGTTATGTGTTCTGAAACAAACAAATCTTATGGGGAATTCAAAAGGTTATTAAATCCATATATATATATATACTAGCCACATAAAGAAACTGTGCACGGAGAAAATATATTCTGGATTGAAATACAACACAGCAAGAACAAAATGATGCAGACGCTGTAGCAGCTGAATGATCGGACCATAAGAAAATGTCAACGGGACCTGAACAACATCTGTTACGATGACGTCAGAAGATCAAAATGGAGTAGGGGGTCAAACGACAAAGTCACAAAGTCAATAACGGGTATGACAACCCTGTGCGTGAATCACAGCAGTGCATCGGCGACGCATGGAGTCCACCAAATGGGCATGGAAGGCCTGGGGAATGGCCTGCCATATCCTCCTCAAATCCTGTGCCAAGTCACGGACGTTATCTGGAGGATGTGGAAGACGACGCAGACGGCGCTCCATTTCATCCCACACATGCTCTATTGGGGAGAGATCTGGAGAAATTGCAGGCCATGGCAGTAACATGACATTGTTATGGTGAAGGAAATCCATTGCGACCCTAGCCGTGTGAGGACGAGCGTTGTCCTGTTGAAATGTCATTCCCGGGCCATGACGTTGCAGGAAAGGAATGAACACAGGCCTCAGAATCTGATCTCTGTAGCCAACACCGGTGAGATTGCCCTGAACAACCACCAAAGGGGTTCGGTGCCGTGCTGTTATCCCTACCCAAATCATCACAGAGCCACCTCCAAAACGATTCCTCTCCACAATACAGTTGCGTGCATAACGTTCTCCCAAACGCCGGTAGACACGTTGGCGCCCGTCACTGTGGGAAATGTTGAACCTCGATTCATCTGTAAAGACAACATTTCTCCACCATATTCGAGGTTGGCGAACATGATTTCGACACCATCTTAGACGGTTGACTCGATAACGGTGTGTCAGGATGGGACGTATGGCAGGGCGTCGTGGTCGAATCCCGTACTGACGTAAACGATTCCTGACACTGTTGGGATGGATACGGCGCAGTCCAGGAATTGTCTGGGACGTCGTTACTGCCGTTTGGAACCTGTGTCGGTGATGTGTAACTCGAATCCATCTGTCCTGTCTTGGCGTCGTTACTCGGGGACGTCCTGAACGTGGGTGGTCGGCAACGTCATTTGTGTTCTGATAACGCCTCACCAATGCCGATATCGTGTTACGATGGCATTGGAAATGTGTTGCCACCTGTTGTTGCCTCATTCCCGCTCGGATCATTCCAATGGCTTCATGACGCTGTGCAGCTGTCAATCTTGGCATGATTTGCTTGTGATATGCTGGTGTCTGCGCCTGAGAAGTTTTGAATTTTTGAATGACCACAGATCATGCTTTCCAAAGTGACAGCGAATTTTGCACATGCTGTGTACAGCTGCACAGGATGCACGTGCAGTAACACATTGCACGTCCATATGCCCCCATCAATGACGTCAAATCGCATGGCACGTGCATGAGCGTTTGAATGTCTCCAACAATTGCTGTGTTCAAACCTATCTTTCAAAAATGGACGGTGTGCCCTTATATCTATATTTTCTCCGTGCACAGTTTCTTTATGTGGCTAGTATATTATAATAATTATTCAAAATACTGACAGCGACTGTTAGATCTTTTACCCTTAATCAATATTGTCACATCGCACGGTCATATATACTACCCAAAAATAAGAAACTCACAGGGGAAAAAAAATTACATAGATGTTCAACTGGGTTTAATCGGGGCGATTTTGATGGTCATTGAAGCATAGTAATATTCTGATTCTGTGGGCAATTCATCGCGACACGTGCAACATGTTGTAGGGCGTTGTCCTGTTGAATATCGCTCGTTGAGGGTCGATGACGGAAGGCAGGCGACGTTGGAGAATTTCATCTCGGTAACGTAATGGTGTCAAATTGCCTTTTACTTGCACCAGGTTGGTTCTACGGTTGTAGGATAGTACTGCCCACATCATGACACTGCCACTATCCACTTCCACAACACAATTTTGAGCCAAACGTTCATTTCCCGTCCGATTTCCCGTCCGATTTCGACGTTGCAGTTCTCATCGAGATTCATCACTAAACCACACTGTACGTCATTGCCCCAGATTCTATGCCTGAATGTCTACACCGTCGAATACGTAAACGTCGGTGCTGACGTCGTAGAATACAATACTATCGGGCTCTTAGTCCAAACCTCATGCAGATCAGGCACATTGGAGGCGGTGTCTGTTGCTGTGACGGTCCGAAGACCCGGATGAACGTCTCCTGGAATGCAGTTGGGATCCTTGGATCCGCCAGATCTTTGACGATCCCATGTGGACCCATAACGACGATATCTCTCTGTGGTGGACGTTACACTGACGGGCAGCTGACGACTGAAACTCTCCAGATCGTTATGTCCGATGGCGTTAATAGGAGTTTAAGGGTCTTGTCGTAGCATATCGAAAATTACTCACAGTTCAAGCTGACTTGGTTGGTGCATGTTATCGATCCAAATTTCGTAAATCGATTCTCGTGATGTCAATCACTAGATTGTCTGGTCCAGACTCGATTATTTACAGACCTCCGTCATACAGCTTGAATATTGCTGAGTGCGGCGTTAAACAACAAATAGTTCAAGCAACAGTAGACAGTTTACTAAAAAAAAATATTACTTTTTTTATACATATCTTCTATTTCCTCGAAAACCGTGCGAATTACATACAGCATTTATTTCCCGCATACATATAAAACATCCCGTTTTCAATATCAATAAATTACCCAAAATAATAACACTGTGAAGTAGCATTTGTAAAATAAGTAACTTCAAACATTTTAGGCGAAATATGCAGCATGTTTATGAACAAAATCATAAGTGCCTTTCTTATTAGGGAGAGTATACATGTTACCCGAAGCCTTATTATGAAAAGACCATCGATAGCTGCTTATAACATGGTATGTTAACCGGGTCTATTTTTCGTTTGTGCGTTTGTTTAACGCCGTACTATCCCAACAATATGACAGCGATCTGTAAATAATCGAGTCTGGACCAAACAATCCAGTGTCTCACATAAGACGCAACGATCAACACCGTCGGGTTGGATGGTTGGTTGTTTGTTTGTTTGTTTTTACTTAACGCCGCACTCAGCAATATTCCAGCTATATGACGTCGGTCTGTAAATTATCAAGTCTGGACCAGACAATCCAGTGATAAATATCATGAGCATCGATCCAGGCAAGTGGGATCGATGACATGCTCCGGGGTAGAATAGGTCTTCAGCAACCCATGCTTGCCGTAAAAGGTGACTATGCTTGTAAAAGGCGAATAACGGGATCGGGTGGTCAGGCTCGCTGACTTGGTTGATGCATGTCATCGATCCCAATTGTGTGGATCGATGCTCATGATATTAATCACTGGATTGTCTGGTCCAGACTCGATTATTTACAGACCGCCGTCGTATAGCTGGAATATTGCTGAGTGCGGCGTTAAACAACAAACCAACCAACCAACGACATGCATCAACCAAGTCAGCAGCCTGACCACCCAATCCCGTTTGTCGCCTCTTACGACAAACATAGTCGCCTTTTACGGCAAGCATGGGTTGCTGAAGACCTATTCTACCCAAGATCTTCACGGGTACCGTCGTCGGGTACGATGACGTCTCAGTACAACAAAACATCTTACCTCAATATAATGGACGCTATCAGCAGAGGAACCATAGTGCCAGGGTTGGATTGGAAGTATTGTTCAGAGTCACAGATTGATTGTCAGTGTCGTACTGCGCGACTCGGGTGGGGCAGGACTTATAAACCCTGCATTGATGATTGCACAACCAATTAATCCCGCGTGGCTGTCACATTCTGCTTGTACAACAATCAATATTTGTGCATGCCCAATGATAGTTCGCTGTAGCTAGTAACGAGAGTTTGTGACGAAACCAGATTGGTTGAAAAGTTTTGTCAGTAGTGACTCGAAGCATGGACATCTTTTAAGTTCGGGCGGTCGGGTAGCCAAGTGGTTCAAGCCTTCGTCGTCACGCCGAAGACCCGGGTTCGATTCCCGAAATGGGTACAATATGTGAAGCCCATTTCTGGTGTCCCCCGCCGTGATATTGCTGGAATATTGCTAGAAGCGGCGTAAAATCAAACGAACTCCATTCTTTTCAATTTAAAAAATTGAAACTACTTTTCTCGATGATCATGTCCCATATTTTGGTATTGCGATACACACAACACATCACATCAACATTATTCTGCTCTTTGAAGCCGGTGTCATCAAAATCAGGTCTTAGTTCTCGCTACCGCTGGGGCGGTCGTCTAGCCTAGTGGTTAAAGCGTTTGCTCGTCACGCCGAAGACCCGGGTTCCATTCCTGACATGAGTACAATGTGTGAAGCCCATTTCTGGTGTTCCCCGCCATGATTGCTGGAGTTTTGCTTAAAGCGGCGTAAAACCATACTCACTCACTCACTCTCGTCACCGCTAAACAAAGATCTGAGAACGTCCCATCACAGGTCACGGCAGAACGACATTTCGCGAACTTTTGAAATGACTAGCTAGAAGCCAATCAGAAAACAGCTTTCCCGAGCTTTACGTCACTAGTTTCAAACTTGCGTCTTTCATTCCAGACTGATAATACTTCTAGTGATTATTCCTTTAGAAGGGGACGGCCCTTAACTTTATTTTGAATAACCCGTGTTAACCTTTTCGATAATGTGTGATCAGAAAACACATTCCGACTTTCACTTTCCCGATCTGGTAAGCGACGATCTGATTGGTCGGTAAAGGTCGTTCTGAAGTGACCCGTAATGTAACGTCCTCAGGTCTTGGTTTAACGGTAGAAAAACCCACCACCCTTTTGGCAATGGGAGAAGTGACCGTGACATTCAGGGTCCATTTAGGGGATATTCGGATCTGCGCGAGACGCAAATAAAATCGTCTTTGGTCCGCTGAATAATAGCGTAGTAAACTCTTCCTTTAAATATTTCATTATTTTGAGTAATTTAATTTTAAATCGCGTCGTCTTAGCAATGCTTTTGAGATTTTTGTTAAGTAGTATTCGGATTCAGGGGAAATGAGACTGGGAGTGAAAGATTGCATGGTATTTGGGATTCAGAGGATGGTGGAGGAGGCACCCAGAATAGTCGAGCCTGGACCAGATAATCTAGTGATTGGCGTTATATATATTCTTTATTCCTCCATAGGAGAGATACAGATATATAAATACAGTATTTACAAGTGTACGAAGACAGGCATTCTTATGTTAAGTCTATCCCTGCTCACATGTCAGAACATACAATGTTTCTTCACAAGGTCTATATATTTCTGGAAGTCTGGAAGAGGGGCGGTCGGGTAGCCCAGTGGTTAAAGCGTTCGCTCATCACGCCGAAGACCCGGGTTCGATTCCCGACATGGGTACAATGTGTGAAGCCCATTTCTGGTGTCCCCCGCCGTGATATTGCTGGAATATTGCGAAAAGCGGCGTAAAACCATTCTCACTGACTCACTCAACTGGAAGAGACCTTTGACTGCAGCTTTTGCAAAGTTCTCTACCGTCTCTGGATTTGCTGGGATCGGGGGCGGACATGCTAGGAGACAGCAAACTAACTCAATTTCCTGCTTGTTATGGAGAGCCACGCTTACGTTCACGGGACAAGTGTTTACTATGCAACACCACCACTTGTCTCTGAGTTGCTCTGTCTGTGGACTTCTACACACAACATGAACGAGCAAGTCCTGGTGGGCAAACTTGTACATGTCACACGCACCCTGGACTAATTGAGATACGAAGGCATGCAATCAACTGGGTATCCGACCCGCCTCTTACGACAAGTATAGATTGCCGGGAGCTTTCTACCGCGGAATCCCCACGGGGCTAGGGTTTAGACCATAGAGATAACAGGTGTTATTTCAAAAAGACAAAGCCAGACAATGATCAGTCGCGATGATCTGTCGAAAAGAATCAACAGACTGTTCAAGACAAAAAAGTGAGAAAAAAATTATGTTACTGAATCACTGAAAATCAGTCATTTCACCAGGTGTTCGCGAAAAGGATAATAAACGCTTCTACTCTATCTATAGCACCCATCATTCACCCAATCTTTTATTTTTTAAAATTCTAAACGTGCATCTTTAACTACTACGACCATCTGATTTTTTAAAAAGATATTTCAAAAGGACCATTTTTTAACTAAATAATATTTCTTCATTACAGAATGCTGCCCTCATACCAAAAGAGACCCGTGAAGATCCGGGAAAGAAAATATGTTTTCAGCAACCCATACTTGTAAAAGGCGACTATGCTTGTTGTAAGAGGCGACTAACGGGATCGGGTGGTCAGGCTCGCTGACTTGGTTGATCCAATTGCGTGGATCGATGCTCATAATATCAATCACTGGATTGTCTGGTCCAGACCCGATCATTTACAGACCGCCGTCATATAGCTGGAGTATTCCTGAATGCGGCGTTAAACAACAAACAAACAAAACAAACATACCCAAATAATCAATCGTAATATAGCTAAAATGCACACTTGATGACATAAGCTTTTAAACTGCACAATACTAATCAATACTTTCGTCTGGAAATCCCTTCCCATACATCAAAGAGATATATAGCCTTTATTAACGTGTTTTTGTTTACTTGTGAATTCGAGGTTTCGGTACCGACGCGAGTATCCTTATTTGTACAGAATCGTCGAATTGAATAGAATAAAGAGGTTGAAATCCATCAGCCGTTCTGTTTTCATTGATACTGCAGCTTCTAAAATGACACTTAAAATATGTGAATATATTTTATCGTCATATCTATGAATAATTGACATGCAAGCGAGATATTACCATCAGAAACAATATTTACTTTTTGAAATCATCGGGTCATGTCGGGCGAAGATACACTTACAATGTCCTGGAGGTTTATGGAAGAATAGACCCTTTCTGGCTTGTCGCCAGAGGATCAATGGGAACATTATGTGATCTGGCTAATTGTGCGTCATTATGCTCAGAGGCAATCTCATTAAAATCATGCCACACCTCCCTGTGTGAAGATGATTGTGTCAGGTTGGTTTGACAGCCTTTTTTAAAAAGAAGTGCGTGTTTTTGTTAGGTGAGGTGAATTGGTGTGTAACGTCGCGTCCAAGACGTGCGTGCGTGCGTGCGTGCGTGCGTACGTGTGCTTGTACAAGTCCGGACTGATACCGATATTTTAGTGCTAGCTCACTGAGATACCATGCCGCAGTTTAACACGAATATCCCACTCAGACACAGTATACTGACTCCAGCCGACCAGTCCTTGTTTAGCCCCTTAATGCCATACAGGGTAACAACAAGTACCATCTTTTAACGTCTTTAAGTATGACACAGGCGGGAATCGAACCCCGGACGCTCTACCACTAGACCACCGGAGGCGGCCTGGGTTTTTTAGTCAATCAGATTTCAAAATACATTCCGCTTCATTTGTTTACCGCCTCGAATTTAGCGAAACAAATCTGTCACACATATACCCTACATAATACACCCCTTGTGTGTAGATCCCATGGCGCTCAGAAACGACAGGAGGTATATGAATATCCACAACAGTATCATACTGCGGCAGATGTTATACCTTTATAAAGAACAGTATTAAGTCCATCAAATGCAAAATGAGTTTATTATCTGCAACGGTTGTCGTTCCAATAAGATTTGCTTCACAAAATGAAGTGTGTATTCACGTTATCCTACAGACCGTGGCTCGTGTATTTACAGGCCGCAATCATACAGCAGGGTTAGTGCGGCTGAAAACAACAATCAGGTAAACAGAAAATCCCGTCTTCATTGTATGGAGATTATTGACAAGTGCATCTCCACAAACAAAGGGACAATACTCTTCTCCAGTTGTTTGTTAAAACCATGTGAATCGGGGTACAATTGTGCCCAGCAACCTTTGCGACTTGATCCATAGGTTCGGTGACATGCCATATATGTTTGTTTGTCTTATTTGTTTATTGTTTAACGCCGCAGTCAGCAACATTCCAGCTATATGACGGCGGTCTGTAAATAATCGAGTCTTGACCAGACAATCCAGTGATTGCTTTCTTGAGCATCGATCCACACAATTGAGATACGATGACATGCATCAACCACGTTAGCGAGCCTGACCACCCGATCTCGTTAGTCGCCTCTTACGACAAGCATAGTCGCCTTTTATGGCAAGCAGGAGTTGCTGAAGACCTATTCTACCCCGGATCTTCAGGGTCCCTGAATCTGGTTTGTTTGTTTGTTGTTTAACGCCGCACTCAGCAATATTCCAGTCTGTAAATAATAGAGTCTGGACCAGACAATCCAGTGACTGCTATCTTGAGCATCGATCCACACAATTGAGATACTATGACGTGCATCAACCACGTTAGCGAGCCTGACCACCCGATCCCGTTAGTCGCCTATCACGACAAGCATAGTCGCCTTTTATGGCAAGCATGGGTTGCTGAAGACCTGTTCTACCCCGGATTTTCAGGGTTCCTGAATCTGGTAACTAACCGGATTTACAATATGTTTTTTCTAGTGTTGAATGGCATATTGTTCTCAATAAACCGTAATGTGGAAATAGATTGTTGTTTGTTTTTATCTTATCAACAGTCATTTCTGAGACATAAATGCAAAGTTTGATAAATTAAGTCCACACGCATTATCGCATTTACAGTAAACTACGGTTATAACATACTCAAAGAAACCACTAATTTTAGTTCGTAATAACCGTAGTTCGTTATAACCATATAAACAGCATATATGCAACAAACGGCCGGGACTAAAACATAAGTTCGTTCTATCGGTCAGTTTGTTATAAGCGTGTTCGTTATAAACGTAGTATACTGTAATTAACTCCAACGTTAATTTCAAGATTTACAGCACATACTATTCAAAAGAAGTTAAAGAACACCCGATTCTGTAATATGACTATAGTTAGTCATGAGAGAAAGCGAGAAAGCGATGAGCGTAGAATTCACTGAATTCTGAACCTGCATTTTTAACAAGTGAATATGACAGAACCGTAGGTAATTATGCAAAATAGATAAAATGTTTATCAACCATAACATGGTTTAAGTGAAAGAAATTCACTCGAATCACTCGAATGATTTCTCTATTACAGGTTCATGGGATGACAGGTCACACATAGCTCCTAGTACGCACGATGAATCTTCTAGACGCCTTGAGGACCGCCTCCGTGGTCTAGTGGTAGAGCGTCCGCCCGGAGAGCGGAAGGTCTGGGGTTCGATCCCCGGCCGCGTCATACCAAAAGACGTTAAAAGATGGTACTTGTTGTTACCCTGTCTGGCGCTCGGCATTAAGGTGCTAAAACAAGGACTGGTCGGCTCGGAGTCAGTATACTGTGTCTGAGTGGGGTATTCATGTTAAACTGCGGCATGGTATCTTAGTGGGCAAGCACTATAAATTTGCATCGGTCCGGACTAGTACAAGCATCCACACACACACACACACACACACACACATACACACACACACGTGCATGCACGTCTCTATATAGGTGCAACAATCTTGGACGCGACGTTAAACCCCATTTCAACTCACCTTCTAGAACAGTTACCAATAAACAAAATTCTGAAGGAAAATGTCTGTCATCTTGCCTTGACGATGTTGCTCATAATATCAATCACTGTTTTGTCATTTACACGCCACCGTCAAATGGCTGGACTGTTGCAAAATTCGGCGTTAAGACACCGCCAAGGTGTATGTGTGAACGGATGCTTGTCGTGAGAGGCGCCTAACGGGATCGGGTGATCAGGCTTGCTGACTTGGTTGATGCGTGTCCTCGTATCCCAATTGCGTTGGTCGATGCTCATGATGTCAATCACTGGGTTGTTTGGTCCGGGCTCGATTATTTACAGACCGCCATCATCCAGTTGGAATTTTGCTGAGTGCGGCGGTAAACAGCAAACAAAAGTATTTTTATCATGAAGCATTCATAAAATAACTAATACAACCCCTCTAAAATGAGATGTTCCATCTACTAAATGCACAGAGGAACACCTTATACCCTGAGATCATGGTACACTGGTTTATGTCAGGATTCATCTTTACTTCATATCAGAATGTTGAGACGTATAAAAACACAACTACCCCAGTGATACTGCTACAACTTATGGGGTAGCCAAGGTTCAAATTTGACACAGTCCATAAAAATTGCACCCTGTCCTTGCTCCTTGTGCTCTGTCAGCGTTCAGATGTCATGGTACCCGTGAAGACCCGGGGTAGAATAGGTCTTCAGCAACCCATGCTTGCCGTAAAAGGCGACTGTGCTTGTCGTAGGAGGCGGCTAACGGGATCGGGTGGTCAGGCTCGCTTGACTTGGTTGGTGCATGTCATCGTATCCCAATTGTGTAGATCGATGCTCATGATGTCAATCACTGGATTGTCTGTTCCAGACTCGATTATTTTTCAGACCGCCGTCATATAGCTGGAATTTTGCTGAGTGCGGCGTTCTACAACAAACAATCCGTCACAGATTCACGGACCAACGTATTCAGTATTCAGCATTCATCTGTCACAGATTCACGGACCAACGCATTCATATGTCACAGATTCACGGACCAACGCATTCATCTGTCACAGATTCACGGACCAACGCATTCATTTGTCACAGATTCACAGGCCAACGCATTCATCAGTCACAGATTCACGGACCAACGCATTCATCTGTCAAATATGCGTCTCATGGACAAACGTGATGGTTTCGATCACAGCTAACGAAATATCTGTATGTCTGTCAAATACACGGTGAACGTGTAAACCATGTTATCTGCAATCACAGGTAAGACTTACATTTACATAACATAAACTAGTGTCCAAAAGAAACGATACCACCTGTTTGCAACGACATAAAAGAAAAACTAAACAATGCAGAAGTTTAGGATTGGTATTATGCTTTTGAGAAATCCTTTCACAACATCTGTACAAAAATTTCATTTCAATAAAATCTGTACAACCAATATGACAAGCCTTTAAAGATGGGTGGGGTCGAAAAATGAACATTTCGTTAGAGCACTGATCACAGAAACAACGGGAAATGTCACAACACACGTCTCAAAGTCAAGTCAGTAGCGGGTATGTCCACCGTGAGCATCAATACATGCCAGAACACGCCTACGGACTGATGACGTCAAACGTCTGATGACGTTGGGAGTGATGCGTTGCCATTCCTCGAGGAGACATCGTTCCAAGTCCTGGACGTTGACTGGAGGCACACGGCGACGTCGGATTTGCCGATCGAGGTGGTCCCATAAGTGCTCGATGGGATTCATGTCCGGTGAACATGCGGGCCATGGCAAAACCTGTACGTTGGCGTTGGCAAGGAAGTTCTGTGTCAATCTTGCTGTGTGTGGCCTTGCATTGTCATGTTGGAAAAGGAGTCCACGAGGCTGTTGCTGAATAAAGGGCACCACAACAGGCCGTAGGATGTCATCAAGATAACGCTGTGCATTCAGGTTTCCACGAATTACGACAAGCATCGTTTTGACGTCACCACATATGCCACCCCAAACCATTAACCCTCCACCTCCAAACGGCCGGACCTGTTGGATACAGTTAGGCGCCAAACGTTCACCAAATCGTCGGTATACAAGCTGCCGTCCATCGTTTCTGAAGATGAGGAATCTGCTCTCATCAGAGAACATAACACGTGCCCAGTCCCGCCGTTGCCAACGTCGAACTCGCCTGGCCCAGATCAGTCTATTGTTCCGGTGTCGAGGCGTCAGGAGCGGTCCGCGGTAGGGATGACGTGGCCGGATACCATACTGCCGTAGTCTCCTGTAGACGGTCTGTCGACTGATCCTGTGTCCCAGTGCTGTAGCCGCCGCGGACGTCGCTGTTACGGTGCGGTTCCTCAGGTGTAATACCCGGATGTAACGATCTTCACGGGGCGTGGTTACTCGTGGTCTTCCACTCCTGGGCCTGTCTGACGTCTGACCTGTCTGACGTAACCGCTGCATCAACCTGGTGATAGTGATGCGTGCGCAGCCCAACCTTCTGGCGACGTCGACGTGTGACGCTCCTTGTTGGACCATTCCAACTGCTCTCTCTCTCTCGATGGCTGTCAAACGTGGCATATCTTGTGTTCCTTTTGTTGCTGTGATATCAACGTGTCTGATCAGCCGTTTTATACAGTTTTTCTGCACGTGCAGAACATGCTAGAGAGGGAAATGTCACTTTCACGAAATTTACGTTTTTTCCCGGAAGTGATCACGTGTTCCCGGTATTTTTTATCGACTATGCTGTGTTTGGGATGTGCAATACGAATTGGCATGTTTTCATACTTGACAATTCACTTAGTAAAAAACAATTTTGAAAATAAGTTGGTATCGTTTCTTTTGGACACTAGTTTAGTATTCTATGTTAATAAAATAAATAGGTTGTACTTTCAACTACATATGTGTACCCAATGGTTGTAATAAGGGCCAACTTATGAGGATTGAGCGGTCACAATGGCTCTACAAATGTCCACCTCTGTTCCTCCAGTCGAAGAGGGGCGGTCGGGTAGCCTAGTGGTTGAAGCGTTCGCTCGTCACGCCGAAGACCCGGGCTCGATTCCCGACATGGGTACAAATTGTGAAACCCATTTCTGGTGTCTCCCGCCGTGATATTGCTGGAATATTGCTAAAAGCGGCGTAAAACCAAAACTCACTCACTCACTCCAGTCCGTTAAACATTTTTCACTTGCTAAGTTTGTTCTCTCTGTTGGTGATAATTTTCCCCTTTCAAGAAAGTATTTCACCCTTTAATAGAACCTATCGTAAACTACGTAAACTGTCTTTCTGTGGTGTCACTGATCAACGAAAATACAAACAATTCGCCGAGTGTCAGGTTTGCCTGAACGCCACTACTCGCTGTGCCGAGTTGCATCCCTTTGCTCCCACGATTTTCTTGTATTCGTGGGTTCGAAGCCTTGATCAATTATGAATATTGTTTTGTCAGGACAATCCGGGTTTCATTAAATTGCAAACGTCTCGAAATGAGTCTCTGTGCCCATCCAACACAAACCCTGACACATCGTGATATCACTCACCTACTCGTTCAGATACATGTATCCTTGAAGTTATATATGGTTTTATGTTTTATTTTGATGTTGATGTTCAGTGTACAAAAGCAAACCCCATTATAGTGGGGGAATAAACATAATTAATATGATCAAATAATCTATCGTATCACAACCCATACCCGGTGGGATTCCGGGTTCGAATTGGCCCCCAGCAACCTATGCTTGTCGTTCGAGGCGACTCAATGGACCTAGTGGTCAGGCTTTCTGATTTGTTTGCCTGCCATCATACCCGATAACTTGGGACGTTGAACGTAATATGAATCACTGGATTGTCTAGTCCTCACCAGATTATTTACAGACCGCCGTCATATAGCTAGAATATTGCTGAGTGCGGCGTAAAACAACAACCAAACACAACCTCTAACTCAATACAACGCTTTATACATCATTTCCGTTGTATCAGAGCATGGCAAGTTTCCAAACAGTCATTGATACACGATGTTCTGTCCAGGATCCTATCTCGACACGTTCTTGGTGACACACAAAATATAGACAGGCAGAAGTCAGTGGTAGCTTCGGTAGTTGTTTGTTCTCGGGCATGCCCCAGAAAGACGCGATCTGATTGGATGAATGGCCCGGACAAGGCCAGTTCCGGCGGAAGTACATCCCCCAGGCGGCTGCGCAGTAGATTGATATTGCGGTTTAACAGGGCAGACTGGGCACTGGCTGCAATGACCATCATTACCAGTGCAAGTCGGATAAAAGATACCTGTATTGCGATCTGAAAACTCAAGTGAAACAAGGTAGGATTAACAACATGACTTGGTATGATTGCATATCGATATAAACAGTTAACTGACGCTAAAATGACAAGGACTTTATTTACGAATTGTCTTAAGTATGTTTGATTGGCATTCTAGAAGTTGGTTGACCCGTGAAGATCCGGGGTAGAATAGGTCTTCAGCAACCCATGTTGCCGTAAAAGGCGACTATGCATGTCTAGGAGGCGACTGACAGGTTCGGGTGGTCAGGCTCGCTGACTTGGTTGATGCATATCATCGATCCCAATGGATCGATGCTCATGATATCAATCACTGGATTGTCTGTTCCAGAGTCGATTATTTACAGACCGCCGTCAGAAGCTGGAATATTGCTGAGTGTGGCGTAAAACAACAAACAAACAAACAAATCTAGAAGTTGGTGAGTCACGGACAACTTTATGGATAACAACTTCTGGTTAATTGTATACAGCCATGGAGATACTTTCGCTGTAATCACAATAGATACACAGAATCAGTAGGACTATCACCTGGCTCCACCAAACGCTGTATACCTAGACGGTATGATACGTGTAAGAATTCAGATCGAAACGTCGCTAAATGCAAAATAACAAGTTGCTATCCATAAAGTTGCACGATTTCTTGTCTTTAATAAGTTTTTTGCAGTTTATAGGGGTGTAAAAACTGATGTATACAATACAATTTATCAATAACACTCGACAACGATACGATATAGCGTTCAGCGCTAAAACACACACAACTCAAAGTACATTGCTTGGTTAGGCAATCAAACGCAGGGAATCACTTGCAATGTATTTATTTGTCCATTAAGTATTGCGGGTTATATTACATGCACAAGTATAAGGAATTATCCCTGATTAAACATATATCTTGATTAAACATATTTTCTTAATCATTCGAAGCTAGCCTCCAAACCTTGCTTTCTTGTTTGTTGTTTAATGCCGCACTCTGCAATGTTCAAGCTTTATGACGACGGTCTGTAAATAATCGAATCTGGACCAGACAATCCCTAATATGATTGTTTGACAGCATGATTATCGATCTCCTCAACTGGGATATGATGACATGCATCAACCAAGTCAGCGAGCCTGACCACCCGATCCCGTTACTCGCCTCTTACGGCAAGCATAGTCGCCTTTTACGGCAAGCATGGGTTGCTGAAGACCTCCAAACCAGATGTCCTCAATGAAACTGAAGGCGTGTTTGTCTGTGTTTTCATATACATAATAGCAACCCCCATACGAATATACAAGGATTTTTTTTTGAATGAATATTCTTCAATGAATGTATTTCTACAATTAAAGTGAGGTTTTTTTTCAAGAACGCACTATTACAAATTGGTGTGAAATTGACTATTTTTCCCGAAAAATATGTAACATCACAAGATAAATCGTTCTTATTTGACATCACCACAACTTCAATTTTACCCGATTACTTATATTCCTTCAGTTAATCAACTGTCATCAAATCTGGCTTGTTATTTCATACACTCGCCCTCCTTGTAAACATTAAGGGACCATGTGGCTTAAATACTGCCGATGTGACCATGAATTTTAAATCACTCACTAAGTACTGGGAACAAATTCGAGTGAGTGAATGTTGTTTAGCGCCACAGCAATATTCCGGTTATTTCACGGCGGCCTTGAATATTACGAGTTTGGACCAGGCAAACCAGTTACTTAAAGCATGGACCCGTGAAGATCCGGGGAAGAGTAGGTCTTCCCATGCTTGCCGTAAAAGGCGGCTATGCTTGTCGTAAGAGGCGGCTATGCTTGTCGTAAAAGGCGGCTATGATTGTCGTAAGAGGCGACTAACGGGATTGGGTGGTCAGACTCGCTGACTTGATTGATGCATGTCATTGTATCTCAATAGCGTGGATCGATGCTCATGAAGTCAATCACTGGATTGTCTGGTCCAGACTCGATTATTTACAGACCGCCGTCATATAGCTGGAATATTGCTCAATGCGGCGTTAAACAACAAATAAACAAACAATAAATAAATAAACAAGAGCATGGTGTAACCAAATTGGCAACAGCACCGAGTCCACCTGATCCCTATATAATACGGAATCTACAATAAGCATTTGACGCTAAGGATTTATTCGGAAACGAACAGGGAATGGATTGATATTCGAAAAATTAAAACATATCACTGCAGGCACGATGCACTCTTTAATGGGTTGGTCCATCTAGGCCAATGATTAACAGCTTTAACCACTGGACCTTGACGTTGTTTTGATATACAGTGAGTGAGTTGGGTGTAACGCGGCTTTGAGCGGTATTCCAGTTATATCACTGTGCCAGCTTAATATGGGAGGAAAGCCCGAAATGATGCAGGTCTTAGACGTATTAATTACCACCTTGGTGACACCCACGAGCACGGGTATGGTGCTGACAAACCTAAAAACATAATCTGAGCAAACCGGGATTCGAACCCACAATCATAGGTTTCTGGTGAGCCCAAGGGACATAACCCTGCACAGTGAATTGCGGTGCCTAAGACGACTGTGACACCATGCCCAACTGGAGGCAAAGAGCACATAGGCAATGAAGAGTGAGTGAGTGAGTGAGTATGGTTTTACCCCGCTTTTAGCAATATTCCAGCAATATCACGGCGGGGGTCACCAGAAATGGTCTTCACACATTGTTTCCATGTCGGGAATCGAACCCGGGTCTTCGTAGTGACGAGCGAACGCTTTAACCACGAGGCTACCTGACCGTCCCCAATAAAGGGAGACGCAATGGGGATGAGGAAGACAACACTAGTTGTAGCAGTATCACGATGGGAACGTGGTTTTATGGTTAACCGCATTAGGGCGTATGCAGTTTCGATCGCCTCGTAGTATAACGAGGGACACGTAAAACCACATGTCACCTTCGTATTACTGTTACAACGAATTTATCTTTCCGACATGTTTCAATCTGCCGTTGTTGAAGAATTAAAACATCTTGAATATTGATAGAAAATCTTTGTTGAGCTGAGGTTAAATTGGGCTGTGTCACGTGACTTTCACTGCCTCGAAAACAGAGTGCAGCTGTTTGCTTCGTGGCGGGGTATAAGGGATTCATTCTTTCGCTCAGAAATCCACAAGCAACGTTTTTTCTTCGTAGAAGGGATTTATTCTACCACTCAGACATTTATTTTTCTGCTAGGCGGGATAAATAGTATTTTATCAAGATGACATAAACAAATCAGATTTCAATATTATGATATGAAAGTAAGATAATCATATTAAATACTTAATATTTAAATTTATGCAATATTAGCGAAATGCACACTTACCATGTTCATAGACGTTGTATAGAATCCACCAACTTGAACGTACATCACTAACGGCAGAATATTTATACATACAAAAACAGTTAAGTTTAGAAACCAACAGGATGGCCTGACGTCATACATACACACGTGATAGGAGAACTGACCAATCAGAGCACAGGATTGCGGTTGTTTTGCCCCGTCTTCCGCGTCGCAGCAATCTGTCAGACGGACGCCTCTCTCACAAAGTGGAGGACCAATAAGTGGTCTAGGATGTTCAGCATTCATTGATGTAGCGTCCTTCCCTTAGAGTCCTTGCTCCGACGCCATTCATTGCGTGCAGCGACCGTCGTATCCGGGTCCAGTTGTTTACTTGTACGTTGTGTACTTTATATCGGAACAACTGTACACTTGATGCTATTAATGCTACTACTGATGCTGCTGTTGCAACTGATGATGATGATGATGATGATGATGATGATGACGAAGATGATGTTACTACTACTGCTACTACTACCACTTCTATTACTACTACGACTGCTACTACTAGTACTACCACTACTACAAATACTACTACTAATAATAATAATCACAATTACGTATTATAATTATTGTGATGATGATTGTTATTATTCTTATTCTTCTTATTATTATTATTATTATTATTATTATTATTATTATTATTATTATTATTCCGTGGAGAGTCCGGGCATTTGTGACCTGGTTCTGTTCCCGATCGACAATGGAATTATGAGTGCATCACGAGATGGCCTACGGCCAAATGCGCAGCTTTATCGAGACAACGTAATATGCACGTGCGCATGATCTGCACGTGTTTTGTGGTAACTCCGCTTCTAGAACAAAATATCGGGCGCACTACCTCTTGATATGGTATCGGAAGTCAGTGTACGGTTGACATCAAAGGAAAGATGTCGCGTCCAATATGTCGACAGAGGAATAACTCGAGTGATGACGTCAGTGAATATTTCCGGGCGCTTCTAGGAGTTCTGGGAATCACAGACGCTGAACGGTTATTTTCAAGAACAAATAATCACATATTCCGTGGTGGAGGACGGACGCATACAAACACATACATCACCTGGGGTAGAATAGGTCCTCAGCAAACCATGCTTGCTGTAAAAGGCGACTATGCTTGTCGTAAGAGGCGACTAACGGGATCGGTTGGTCAGGCTCGCTGACTTGGTTGATGCATGTCATCGAGCCCAATTGCGTGGATCGATGCTCATGATATCAATCACTGGATTGTCTGTTCCAGACTCGATTATTTACAGGCCGCCGTCATATAGCTTGAATATTGCTGAGTGCGGCGTAAAACAACAAACCAACAAACCAGCATAAACCATCTCGATATATTCTGTAGGTAACGGTACATTCCGAGGGGACCCGAATGGGACGGCTGTCGAGGATGATATACATCGATAGCAGCAAGTTGAATGGTGAGTGAGTGAGTTGGTATCTGTGCTGAAATAGTAGCATTCGAACCGTGTCACATCGACATCATGTAGCGGGCGTGGAGTCATCCCACAGATGACATCCTTATCTTGTCAGCTTGCTGACGGGGTTAACCTCTTTGGTCATGTGGACAAGGCGTCCGACCTGTGATCAGAAGGTCCGTGGTTCGAATCCCATCACGGGACTCGGAAATTTTATGGCCGTTACATTGGCGCCCAACGTGGGGCTGAGCGCGTTCATATTAAATTTGAGCAAAATAAGCCTCAGTACCCTACTATGCGGCCCGGGACGTGCCTTCTGTTGACGGGGGAGTATGTAGCGGGCGTGGAGTCATCCCACAGATGACATCCTTATCTTGTCAGCTTGCTGACGGGGTTAACCTCTTTGGTCATGTGGACAAGGCGTCCGACCTGTGATCAGAAGGTCCGTGGTTCGAATCCCATCACGGGACTCGGAAATTTTATGGCCGTTACAATCACACAAAGAAAGGGGGCGGTCGGGTAGCCTAGTGGTTAACGCGTTCGCTCGTTACGCCGAAGACCCGGGTTCGATTCCCGACATGGATACAATGTGTGAAGCCCATTTCTGGTGCCCCCGCCGTGATATTGCTGGAATATTGCTAAAAACGGCGTAAAACCATACTCACTCACTCACCCACTCACAAAGAGTACACTCCTGCATGGAATCAAACCTGCATCCTGGACGATGTGGATAAGCAGTAAACATGCGCACTTATAAATCCAGTCCCTTGTTGACACACCTTACATGCCAATCAATCATATTTCGTTTCACTGCGGTATCGCGTGCACCCCGGTTTCTTCAAGATCCTGGAACCACCTCCATTCTCCATTCGTCACCACTCGCCTGTTTCCGTAACCTATAGCTACGACAAGGTCTACATTCGGCTTATCTCGGAATTGTCGCCATGTTTATGAGTGTGTTGTAGCGAGCTCGAGGGTACATATTTGGGTCGTTGATTTTTTAATTTTATCAGTTTCTTACGAAACATTTTACCTCATGAGTTTTGTTTGTTTGTTTTTTGTTCAACGCCTCACCCTGCAATATTCCAGCTACATAACGGCGGTCTGTAAATAATCGAGTCTGGACCAGACAATCCAGTGATTGACTACATGAGCATCGATCTAGGAAAATGGGATACAATGACATGCATCAACCAAGTTAGCGAGCCTGAGCACCTGATCATATTTCCCAATTGCGTGGATCGATGCTCATGATATCAATCACTGGATTGTCTGGTCCAGACTCGATTATTTACAGACCGCCGTCATATAGCTGGAATATTGCTGGGAGCGGCGTTAAACAACAAACCAACCAACCAACCTGATCCTATTGATTGCCTCACAAGGCAAGCATAGTGCGGCGTTTAAACAACAAACAAACAGAGCAGAATCAACTGCAAGAATAGCTTGACGTCATCACTATGACAACAAGGGACTAGAGTCCCACACGGATGTCCCATTGACTTCAACAACCTGGATCACATTACAATATTTAATGTCAAAAGAACATTACATACACATTGAATTCACATAATACATTTTTTCAAGCGCGTAGTCACACAAAGGAAAGTTACTTAGAGTAGATATGTAAAATCCGTCAAAAGGCAAACTATAGGACGACATGTACATGGCTCCCATGAAATGTACATTGTTTGTATGAAATATACAACAATGTAGATGAAATGTACATGACTCCCATGAAATGTGCATTGTTCGTATGAAATATACAACAATGTAACATACACGAAGCACAGTGCTCATTGTAGTGGCCACAAGGGAGTGATGTAACGGGTGGCTGACACGAGTGCAAATCACAAAGAACTAAGATTGAACGAAACAGTTATGGGAGTGCATAACATATTCCCGTGAGAAGAGCATATGTATTTATTCTACAACCTTTGTTTCTTGTTGGGTTGCGTAAAGAAAATATATTTTATCCCCGGCCTTTTGAGTTTTGGCGACCGGGAGTACCATAATTCCCACAATTAACCACCGTTGTTTCTTTAATACTTTAAGACGTTCAATGGGGCTGGAGTGAGTCAGTTAGTTGGGTTTAACACCGCTTTAAACAGTATTCCAGTTGTATCACGGCGTGTCAGCTTAATGTGGGAGGAAAGCCCGAAGTGATGCAGGTCTCAGACGTTTACCACTTCGCTGAAACCCACGAGCACGGGTATGGTGCTGACAAACCTAGAAACATAATCGGGGCGAACCGGGATTCGAACCAACAATCCTAGGTTTCTGGCGTGCCCAAGGGACGCAACTCTGCACAGCGAATCGCGGCGCCTTAGACGACTGGGACGTCCGTGACCCCCAACGGGGATGGAAAGTAACCATGAACGTCTACTAGTCCGAATAGTTTTAACATACTGCAATACCAACCCACCCTACCCCTTTCCAGCCCAAACCCCTATCTCCAAAACCCACACACCCCAACCCCCAACTCAACCCCCCAACATGTCTGAAATTCTACTAGCCCTTAGGAGTCCATTAACAAAACCAAACTGGTCCGGGCTGCTGTAATTTGTGAGGTAAATATTTTGGTTGTTAGGGAGATTCGTTTTCTTTTTTCCATCCTTAAGTGCAGACTTAATTAAAATGAAGAAACTTTCAAGAAATGTTTCTTCATGGAAAGCGCGATGAATACATGTAACTATATATTTAATATAGCATCGACAAGAAGCATGGATTTATGTAAGGGTACATTTTGTTGGTATCAAAATACAGAAGAACTAGATAAATCTCATTAAAATCATATCTTAGTTCTCGCTACCGCTAAACAAACATCTGAAGACATCCCATTAGGGGTCACATCAGAACGATCTTTCATCCGACCAATCAGAGCGTCGCTTACCAGATTATGAAAGTGACAGTCGGAATGTGATTTCTAGTCATGCAATCTCGAAAACTTTAACACGGTGTATTCCGAACGATAGTAACGGGTTTAACGACTGAATCCTTACAATCTAGACCATCTATTAGCCATTCCAGAATGTATTTTGTTCAGGTTTCAAATTTGTAATCGAGAATCTGTCAAAATATGTTTCGAAGCGTAGTCGCCAATTTGAAATTAGTGCCGTAAAGCACGAGAAAGCTGCCTTCTGATTGGTCATTCTATTGGTCGGTCAAAGTTCGCGCAAGGTCGGTCTGATGTGACCCGTAATGGGATGTCCTCAGATCTCTGTTTAGCGGAAGCGAGAACAAAGATCTGATTTTAATGAGATTGGAACTAGATAAGATTCCTGGTGTCAAATTTAGTTCCAGTCTGACGGAAACAAGTGTGTAACAGTATATCGGTTATAAGATCTCATGTTAGCTGAATATGGAAATGGAGTAAAACACGACACATATCATTTACGTCGACAGGTTTTTTTAAACCAACGTGCGAGGTGCAGGCAGAGTAGGGATCACAAGGGACTGGTATTTTTTTTTTATAGGAATCGGGGTGGGTGGTGAAAAAACAACACAGCGGTTCAGTCGCAAAATTGTACAACTAAATCAATTATACATTCGAACATTATTTAGGGTAAAGTTGCTTAGTACAGAGTGAGTGAGTGAGTGAGTGAGTGAGGTTTTACGCCGCTTTTAGCAATATTCCAGCAATATCACGGCGGGGGACACCGGAAATGGGCTTCACACATTGTACCCATGTCGGGAATCGAACCCGGGTCTTCGGCGTGACGAGCGAAAACTTTAACCACTAGGCTACCCGACCTCCCCTAGTACAGAGTGAGGGGGGGGGGGGGTGCGGTATAAAAGTATGTTGCATAAAATGAAGGGGGTAGGGGTGCAAACTGACCCCCGAATCGGCAGATCCTGCATATTGCGACTGCGTCCACCACTGGCCTACCCGTCCCTCCTCTATACTACGTGAGGATGTGCTAAATTATCATACATGGCCATACACAGAGTAGCAACATATAAGATGAATGGTATATACAACGTGATATTCTTTGGCTACACTAGTCACCGAGCTATACGCCATTGATTTGATATAGTGTTTGAGCAACTCAAAGGTAAAACAATCTCATAGGTAACATATTATGACAACAACTTTCCACATCTATGTTCGCACAAACGATCACAGGATCCTGGTACGACTAAGGGACGCAACTCTGCACAGCCAATTCAGGCGCCTTTGACGACTGGGCTAGCCTGGACCCCATAGACAATCAAGAAGTCAACTCACATCTAGCTGGGTACACGGGTACAATGTGTGACGCCCATTTCTGGTGTCTTTGGCCTTTTTTTAAACACCAACGGAAAATATTTGTCCCAAATTCAAAAACCCAAATATGCTATACTTAAGTAATTGTTTAACTTTAAAAAAAATAAGGTTGTGAAAAAAACTGTACATTCTGTAATGTCATTATAAAAACTGTAAAATCTTACATGTAAACCATCTTCTGTATATATTGTTTGTAAATGTGTTTCTCATATCCCGGCCGAATATCCCGGCCCGAGTGTAAATAAAGTTCTGCTCTGTTCTGAATATTAAAACTCTTTAGGGACCGACCATTCGAAATTCGGGGGATGGGGTGGGGTGGGGTGGGGTCCTGTAGGGAGGATGATCTGATTGTTGCCGGTTTTTTATTTGAGACAATATGATTTCATTACTTTCAAGAACATGCAGCATGTCAAGTGATCGATGTATTTTTTTTATAAAACTGAGGATTTTTTTCCAGTTTTCGAAGAAAATAAACTTGTTTCACAAACTATGCCCCCTACTCCTGAATTGGTCAGTTCCTAAGTAGGGGCTGTGTGTCTAACAGTAATAGCTGCACTAGGGTTAGTTTGTTTTGAACAAAACATCGATCAAAAGGCGGGGACTCTTCCTACAGGTGACGGAAAGGGCCGAGTTGTCACGAATGGTCAGGTCACAGGGCTTTCACGTCCTGTAAGTGAGTGATTGAGTTGGATTTAACGCCGCTTTTAAAAGTATTCCAGTTATATCACGGCGTGTAAGCTTAATGTGGGAGGAAAGCCCGAAGTGATGCAGGTCTCAGACGTTTACCACTTCGGTGAAACCCACGAGCACGGGTATGGTGCTGACAAACCTAGAAACATAATTGGGGCGAACCGGGATTCGAACCCAGTATCCTAGGTTTCTGGCGTGCCCAAGGGACGCAACTCTGCACAGCGAATCACGGCGCCACCCGTGCCTCCTCACATCCTGTAACATATCGAGACAAATGTGTTATCTACATAAAACCAATATTATATAACCACTCCCGTGTCTCAATTATTGATCCTTAAAAAGATTCATGTTGGAGAAAGAGATGTTCAGGGGGAGGTTAATGAATATTTGATACCTGTGCAGTCGGATTGTTTTAGATTCACATCAGTATACCTATTGCACGTTTTATACAATGGTTATTTGATATCAACAAAGTCACTGTCGAGGTTGAAACACGTCAAAAATTCCTTTGACCTTGACTGACCTATTGACCTTGAACTTGTATTTCAGGGTCATCTTTATATGAACTTATGACCTCCATTGCAGTTCCTTCTTCCGGGAGCTCCCCGTTCTGTCTGCTGTCTGAAAGGGAGCCGTTGTTTTTATATTGGCGGTACCGATACTGTCTTCGGATTACCATGCAAATCTTTTTTCGGAACTTGATGAAAAGAGCACAACACATAAGTAAAAGGCTTGTGATGACTGCAGCAATTGCCGCGACCTTGACCCGACTCAGGACGTCATGGGTGTAAGGTTTAGCAATGTCACAGCTGAAGGTGGAATTCGAAAGCGAGAATACGTTTCTCCCTCTGTATGGATCCGGCGCTGCGCACGAAAGATTTGACGCATATAGTTTTGTATTCGGATTATTGGCGTTCTTCAGAGTTGTAAACATCCAAACAATATTGCAGTCACAGAGAAGCTGGTTATTTCTTATATCAACAGTCGCATTTCTATCCCATGGAACCATATTTGGATAAAATGTGCGAATGGAATTGGAACTTAAATCGAGATCCACCAGTGAGCCCGCGGAGGGAAAAGTTGTCTCTCCGATCGACGTGAGAGCTTTATTATTTCGTATGATGACTTCCGTTAAATTCGACATAAATTCAAAAGTTCCATTTTCAATGGTTGTTAGGTATCTTGAGGATGTTACTGTCAGCTTTCGAAGACTTTTCAGCCCATTAAAAGACCCCCTCTTAAAAATTTTGAATTTATTTTTACTGATGTCCAGTATTTCAAGACTTGTAAGACTTTTAAAGGCATCCGTTGGAACATCGTTCAAGTCTGTTCCTTTAATTGAGAGCTCCACTAAAGAGGTGCCAGAACCCGCCTTCAGCACGGCAAACGCCGACGGTTCCAGGCTTGCAAGATGGTTCCCATTGAGGCTCAAAAACTTCAGATTCAAAAGTCCTGCAAATGCAAACCTTGGTATGGTCTTCAACCTGTTATCGTCCAATACAAGCCGGGTAACGGATGTCAGTCTTGATAAAGCGTTTGTCGGATACACTTGAAGAAGGTTTCGGGTTAAATTCAAAACTTGCAAAGACTCCAAGCCAACAAAAGCGTCGTCTTCGATGAAGGAAATGTTATTTTTCATTAAATCTAATTGCTGCAAACTTTTCAAGTCTCTGAAAGCACCATTGGGTAAGGTCTTCAAGACGTTGTACCCCAAGTCCAAGGTTTTGAGCGCCCGCAATCCCCGAAAGGTCTCGTTCGTTAACTTTGCCAGATAGTTCCGACGAAGAATCAGATTGTCCAGATTTTCTATGCCACTGAAAGCTCCATCACTGATGCTGCTGATGTTGTTGGATGCCACATCAACTCTTTCGAGTGCTGGGTAGGATTTAAGTTCAAGTCCAATCTGCTTTATCCTGTTTCCTGAAACAAGTAGCTTCTCAATCGTCTCGGCCAATGGAAGGGTGGAAGGAAGTGACGTCAGGTTGCTATGACGACAGTCTATAATGGTGGCGGAGCATGTACATCCGTGAGGACAGGCGCCTCCGTCAGATGACGTACTATGTGCTATGAAAAGGACGATGACGAGCGTTATCCCCCACACGTCACGGCACGGTAACGATACCATCGTCACGTGATGACTCTGCAAATAAAATAATAATTACAGTAAATTACGTTTATAACGAACACGCTTGTAACGAACTGACGGATATAACGAACTTAATTTTTGGTCCCGGCCATTTGCTGTATAGATGTTGTATATATGCTTATAACGAACTACGGTTATAACGAACTAATATTTGTGGTCCATTTGACTTCAGTTGCACACACATCAGACAGGTCACAACCATGGCCAATTCACACACATCAGTCAGGTCACACACATCAGACAGGTCACACACATCAGTCAGGTCACAACCAATAGCCAATTCACACACATCAGTCAGGTCACACACATCAGACACGTCACACACATCAGACAGGTCACACACATCAGACAGGTCACACACATCAGTCAGGTCACACACATCAGTCAGGTCACACACATCAGACAGGTCACACACATCAGACAGGTCACACACATCAGTCAGGTCACACACATCAGACAGGTCACACACATCAGTCAGGTCACAACCAATAGCCAATTCACACACATCAGTCAGGTCACACACATCAGACACGTCACACACATCAGACAGGTCACACACATCAGACAGGTCACACACATCAGACAGGTCACACACATCAGACAGGTCACACACATCAGACAGGTCACACACATCAGTCAGGTCACAACCAATAGCCAATTCACACACATCAGGCAGGTCACACACATCAGACACGTCACACACATCAGACAGGTCACACACATCAGACAGGTCACACACATCAGTCAGGTCACACATATCAGTCAGGTCACACACATCAGACAGGTCACACACATCAGACAGGTCACAACCAATAGCCAATTCACACACATCAGTCAGGTCACACACATCAGACAGGTCACACACATCAGACAGGTCACAACCAATAGCCAATTCTGACACATCAGTCAGGTCACACACATCAGACAGGTCACACACATCAGTCAGGTCACACACATCAGACAGGTCACACACATCAGACAGGTCACACACATCAGACAGGTCACACCCATCAGACAGGTCACACACATCAGACAGGTCACACACATCAGTCAGGTCACACACATCAGTCAGGTCACACACATCAGACAGGTCACACACATCAGAGAGGTCACACACATCAGTCAGGTCACACACATCAGACAGGTCACACACATCAGACAGGTCACACACATCAGAGAGGTCACAACAAATAGCCAATTCACACACATCAGTCAGGTCACACACATCAGACAGGTCACACCCATCAGACACGTCACACACATCAGACACGTCACACACATCAGACAGGTCACACACATCAGACAGGTCACACACATCAGACAGGTCACACCCATCAGACACGTCACACACATCAGACAGGTCACACACATCAGTCAGGTCACACACATCAGACAGGTCACACACATCAGACAGGTCACACCCATCAGACAGGTCACACCCATCAGACAGGTCACACACATCAGACACGTCACACACATCAGACAGATCACACACATCAGTCACACACACACATTGTGACTACACGATCTCCATAAGTCGACCGATATGAATACGTCGGACCTGGCATTATGGAGTTAGTTTGTACAAGTATGACGGTTCAATTTTAGCTTTAATACTGACTGGAAGCGCCATGGATTTTCCACCAGTAAATAGAAAAAGGGTAGTCATTCTTTACTTCTGTTTCTTCTTCTGTGTTCTCAGTACAAGTGTCAGTGATACAACGGAAACACGAAGTAATGGACACACGGACAACGAAAATGCAACAATTGTTTACAGTTTGAGGCGCTACATATAGGGATATTTCTCATCGTTCCATGATGTGTTTGTTTGTTTGTTTGTTGTTTAACGCCGCACTCAGCAATATTCCAGCTATATGACGGCAGTCTGTAAATAATCGAGTCTGGACCAGACAATCCAGTGATTAACATCATGAGCATCGATCCACGCAATTGGGATCGATGACATGCATCAACCAAGTCAGCGAGCCTGAGCACCCGATCCCGTTAGTCACCTTTTACGACAAGCATAGTCGCCTTTTACGGCAAGTATGGGTTGCTGAAGACCTATTCTACCCCGGAATCTTCACGGGTTCATCGCTCCACGATACACATAACTGATTATCATACTATAGCGTGTGTATTTTTAAATATAAGATAGCTCCGCGATAAATCGCAAAGACCGAAGCGTCGTTTATTTCATAATAAAACATTGTTCTTATCATGTCGTCATTTCTTGGAGATTCGACCATGCACTCGCAACCTGATGACCGACCTCGTATATAAGACGATGTTATTATTGAGAGGGGAGTGTCTAGTGAGTTGTAGCTGGGCAACGCAGATAAACGCGATGGTCCAATGATCGCATCCAAAAGCGAGAGAGATATGACAATCGGTTTTGGGAGAAAAGGTACAGATAATCGGTGTTGGGATTGTGAAAATATGCGCGAAATACCCGCCAATGCAAAAAAAATGGACTTCGCCGTTGTCCGTGTTGTTTCAAGAAGCCATCTTGAATATTTTACGTGGGCAGTTATTAACATGCTTGCGTTTTATATTCTTCTTGCTTTGAACCCCACTATTGGCTTACTCTCGCAAGTATTTTGTCTTCGTTTTGTATGTTGTCTTACGTTTGTCGTAATAATTGTTTTATAAACCCGCGCAGTGGGATAAACAAATTATAGCGGATTCTAATGAAGGGGGAATCATTATTTAAATACGGATAAATATTTTCAAAACTTGTTTATTTTATCAACATCTTTAAATACCCACCAATGCAAAAAATTGGACTTGTCCTTTATTGCCGAGGTCGGATTCTAATTTGGTAGTCATCATTGTTTAAAACGGATAAATATTTTCAAAACTTGTTTATTTTATCAACATCTTTAAATACCCACCAATGCAAAAAATTGGACTTGTCCGTTATTGCCGAGGTCGGATTCTAATGAGGGAGTAATCATTATTTAAATACGGATAAAATGCTATTTTCAAAACTTGTTTATTTTATCAACATCTTTAAAGAGGCTGTACATAATGTTGACATATCATATAAGAAATAAACGACTTGGGTCGTTGTTTGTCATAAACTATAACACTGCAGGGAGAATAAACCACACGAGGTTTCGCCACTCATGGTATATTCTCCCTGGAGTGTTTTGTTGTACGATAAACAACTCCTACTCTTCGTTTATTCCTTAAATAGAATGACATATCTGATTATCTCTATCAAAAGTTGAGGGGTACATTTTACACTTGCATGACAGCTGTGTACCTGAAGGTTGTTCAGCTCATGACGTAAATGTGTTGAAGGTAAACCCTTTTGCGACACACATTTACATAACTGTCAGCCGTGCCCCATTGCAAAAGTACATTATAACAACAACACTGCCAAACTAATAGTTTTTTTACGCAGATAATCGGGCCATTCAGCTCCGCTCATAAGCCCCGATTTAGGATAGGTATGTTATAGATGCTTGTTAAAATATTCTCCCCACCCCTTGGACATACGGAAGAAGTCATGGGCCCGAAATAAGGATTTTAATTTTGAATTCAGGTCGCGTTTTGGCGATGATAGTTCATCACAGATGTCGTGCTCCATGTCACAGCTCGCACTGACTTAGCTGCCCTTGATGTACAGGTCTACTCAGTAACACTGTTCTAATATGACAGCTGCCACGTCTAACACGAAAAAGGGTAACACTAGCACTCAACCTTGGCTACGCCCTATGCTTGGAAACAGTGTAGACGTATTGAAAGTGAGCTGCGCTGAAAGGATATATGTTACTGTAAATCGTTGTGACATTTCAGTATTAAGTTTATTGGTTTAGAACTGGAGAAGTAACCCGTTGTTTACACTGTTTGGGGAAAGTGTATATACTCAGGATCAGAACAAACGCAACGTTATGTTTTAGATTCGTATGAAATCATCTTGATTTGAAAATAAATCATACATCCATGAATGGAGTGAGTGAGAATGGTCTTATGCCGATTGCAGTACTGTTCCAGCGGTATCGCGACTGGGAACACATTGTAACCATTTTGGGAACTGAACCTGTATCTTCGGTGCGACGAGCGAGGTTTTTTTTACCACTAGGCTACCCCACCGCCCCTACACAGGTAGACGCATTACAAACATATAATAATATATGTTGTTCTTGAGTCTTATGACATTTGCTTGAATGATACGCTTCTGTACACTGTCACATACTTATGATCAAAACAAACGCAACATATGACCAGTTTCGACCTATGCATCTTCCCGAGGCAAGAGAGTGAACTGACTTTAAAAGTCCAGTTTCAACCCTTGGCGAACTTGGCTGAAATTCCTGGGCTCGATCGTAGCGCCACCAGTGGCTATTACGAGTTGTGTCCCTTTCAAGCCTCTCCTATGGACCAATCAGATTTCATCACTTGCATTTGTTTCAAAGAAAACGATGGCGCCCAGTCAAGACGATCTGATCGATAATCAAGATCTATGTTGTGATAAAACGGGTCTTACATCGCGAAGTGGATCAAGTCACGCAAGCACCTTGATCAAAAACATGAAAAGGTTTGGAAAATATCTGTTGACAACGAGTTGGCGGTGCACATTCTTTGCAAATACTGCAATCGACCGAAATCTGCGCGACAGTTTACGAACCGTATTTCGATTTCGTTGTGCGATTTTGATTGGACTATGCATAGACTCGTTAGTCCAGTCAAAATGTAACTCCATAATACCAGCCTAGTTCGGCAAGGGTGGAAACTGGACTTTTACAGTTAGTTAACTCACTTGCCTCGGGAAGATGCGACCTATATGCCTTTGTTTTGGTATAAACAATATGTTATCCACTGGGCGGAAGAAATTAATTCATGTTATTACCACGACAAGGGTACTTGGACTAAATTGTGATGCGAAAAAACGTTCGTTTGAAGAACACACTCTGATAAATTGTCATATACTGACGAATGAAAGAAACATATGTAGGTTCGTTCTAAATACGCTTGTTTGATTACAA